GCTGCACTCCAATATTGAGAGGTCAGAGCGCTGAAGAGCATTGTTTAACTATGCCACTTTTATAATTTGTTTTGTGTGGGAGTATGCTAAGATATAAAATAGGTTATTCTTAGACAAGAACTCTCATTAATACAATTATGTAAATTCTAATTTAAAAATAAGATTACAGTATATTTAAGACACTATCCTTGGCCCAACTATTCTGAAATACAAAAATTCAAAATCTACAGTTAATTGATAAAGATAACAGTGTAGTTTGTTGTATTTCAAACATTTTATTTTGAAAAAATAGATATGGTTTCAAATGACAGGGCCCTGGAAAATACTCTTCTACATAGAAATTACTGTTGACAAACTTGCTAGATAGATGTTTCTTCTTATTGATGTTTCTTCTAGTTGTGTATTGCTGAATCTTATGTTCAAATCAAATCAAAGTATTCAGGAATAGTAATAGTAAGCTAAAAATCGCTGATTTCTGACAGGTCTAAGCAAACTCTGTTAGTATGTTTATAAAATTAATTTTTAACTACAGAGAATGTGGAAATGAGCTAGCCAAATTGGTTATGTTGGTTGGTATAATATTAATAACAAACTAATTTGTTTTAGTATATAATATAGTTTAAAATATTTGAAAAGATGACATTGTATCCATGGAAAAACTGACAAATTATATGATTGGTTACCTAACTAATTACACAGTAAATTTTAGTAATATTCAGATTGGAACTGAAATTATTTGAAGATATACTTGCTAATACATTTAAATTATCATTTCAGAACACATACACACTCCATAAAAAACCTGTAAGCTGATCCAGGTAAATCATAGTAACTTGGTGCTTAAAGTAAATTCAGTAGAAAAGGTGCTATAAACCTGTTATAACTCTCTTATGCATGTGTAAAATGAAGGTACTATTTATTAACCTCATTTCGTTCTACAAAGATTTAAGAATTTTTTTAATTCATCAAACATAGAATGATTTAAAACAAAATCAGAGTCAAGGATATATAAATATTATGTAAATATCAGGAGGTAGGGGCAAGAACATAGCAGATTACTAAGAAAATATGTCCGAGGCCATATTTTGAGAGTCCAAGTTTGTATCACCTAGGAATAAACTCTTGTAATAAAGACTGACTTGATCCAAATGTAGAGAAGTACCACCTCATCTTCTGACAGTTTTCTATAAAGAATGTCACCTCTCAGTTGGGCTATTCTACATAGAATTGATAGCTGATATTTTGAAATTGTCACTTTTAAAGAGGACATAGGCTCTATATTTTCTGAGGTAGAATTCCATATGCTATCAAAACTATACAAACAAACCAAGAATAGCTAGTATGTTTGATATAGTGTTGTGAAACCTAATAATTTAAAATGAAGGTATGTGCACAAAGACGTTACAGTGCCAGAGGTAAAATGTTGCAAATAAAAATAATATTTTGTTTTTTGAAATAGTTTACCAGTTGTCTTAGTGTCTTTGTTGAATAATTTTGTTCTCACTAAATTTTGATGCCATCTTAACTGTGTGTGTGTGTGTGTGCGCGCGCGTGTATGTGTGTGTGTGCGTGTGTGTGTGTGTGTGTATTTTTTTGGTATATACAGCCTGTTTTCCTGGACCATTTATTTTGAGATAGTACCCATCTATTTTAATATTTGAAAAAATAGTCTTTCATTATTACTCTTTACTCTAAAAGACCTTTTTTGTCTTTTCTTAATTCTATTCATTTTCAAATTTTAAAAAGCATATGCAGTATTAATAATGAAAAGGTGTATGATACTGCAATGAGTGATAAGATGTCACAAATCAAAAATATTAAGAATGTAAGTATGTGGCATAGGAACCTATAATTATAAAAAAGGTGAAGCTTTATAATTGAACAGTTTAAGGTGATATAATACTTTAAGTCTGTTTTTCAAAGTAATCCTATAACTATATTAGTAATTGTAATTGTTTTCATTGCAAGTGCTAAGTTTCTGTAATAAGGACTTTCTCTGTATACCTAGCAACTAACAAAAAGAACATCTCTTTTTTGACTTAACCTCTTGGTATTTTTTTATTTTCATTTCATGTACTTCATTGAAATTAATATATTGGAAGTGGGCTTTTTGTAGCCATTTTTTTGATATACATTTTCAGTAGCTTTTAATGGATTTTAATGATATTTAATAGAGTAAATGTTAGAGACATATAATGAATGAGACATGAAGTTCTTCAGTGGCCATAGTTTTATGGAGAAATAGTTCTTTGAAAACTTGAAGTTGTTTCTAAACATTTATTAGAAGATTGGGTAGATGATTGAGAGATGTGGTGTCAGTCCTGGCCCTGCATCTTAAGAGCAAGACCCTACATGCTCTAGTTAAACCTTTTATTTGTAAAGAATCTGCAAATTTATTTGTTAATTTAAAGTACCCCCTCCAAATATGGCGAAATATTAAAATGAAATCTAAAAAATATATTAAAAAAATAAAATGACGATCTGTATATACGTGTTTATATTCTGTTCTCATTATTCATAGTTTAAAAAATATGAGTTTGTTATCTTTATTATTAAATATTTTATAAACTTTTTAATGTTGTTTAGTTAATAAACCATGCTTTGAAAGAACTGATGGAAATAGAAGAAGTGAGTGAAAATGTATTACAAGTTCACCTAAATGGTAAGTATGGCACTGTGCCATTGGAAATTCTATAAGCCATGTGAGCTTTTTACCTTATTAAACTAAATTTACTTGTATATTTTAGAGCTGGATTAATAATTTAAAAAAAAAAAACTAGATCCAATGTCTAACAGTTTTTACTTTAGCACACCATACACAATAGTTTTAGAAACTAAAATAAATAAATAAATGAAGGAAGGAAGGAAGGACTTTTGGTTTTTGTCTTCTCTGTTTAAAATGATGCTAACCCTAAGGAAGATTCTTCTTTGAATCTACCAATGTCTTCATTGCTGAGTTTTAAAAAGGAAACAATATAAAGAAACAGACTTTGACTTTTCTCTCTCTACCAAAATTTAAAAAGCATTAGAAAATTTTGACTGGAAAATAATCTGTACTGTGTCAAATATATATTTCATTTTAATTAAATACTTTTAAATGGGCTTTATTTCAGGACTGCTGCAGATCAATGATAAAATTGCCCTGAAGGAAATCACAAGGCAGTTAAATCTAGAAAATGTAGTTGGAGATAAAGTTTTTGTAAGTATTATTTTCATTCTTTTATTAAATAAACTTCAAAGTAAAGTTAGTATAGCATAGCTTTATATTTTGGAAAGCTAGGGAGGGTTCAGAAATTGAAATATGCAAGATTCTTGTTATAAAAATATATAATTACTAGGATGCATTTATTCATCAGATTTTTATGTTTAGATTTTCTTTTGAAATAAGTTATACTAGCTATAAAATAACTTAAAAATCTAGGTTTGTGTAGATATTATCTGAGTTTGTTTTTTTATTTGTAATATAAATATTTTTATTCACTGTCCTTGGAGATAGGTTAATCTGTTCTTAAAAATACTACACTCTTATGGTCTATTTCTAGTCTTCTGAGACTTCAGTAGCATTGGAATAGTGGAAAATGTGCTGAATTTGAAACTACAGAAGGTGGGTTTTGATCTTGCCCTACAAGCAGAGATTACCTGGTTACCATGATTAATGAATACCTCCGAATTTCAGATTCTTCATCTGTTAAATAGGCATTATCTTATACTTCACACACTTATTCTACAGATGAAAGGAAGCATTAAACATCACTTATGTTTTGAGAACAAATACTCAATGGTAATATACATACTACACAGATGTCAGTTATTTCTTGCTATTAAAATGTTCTCAAAACTTACCCATACCTCATTATTTTAACAGCTTGAAATTTAGGACAGTGAACATCAGTAACTTAAACTGATTTCAGAATTTTTTTGGAACTTTTAAAAACTCTTTACCTATCACTTGATTCATAGGGCTCGAGGGAAGAATAATTAACTTAATTTTCAGCTGCTTTAATTTTCCATGTTGAAATGACTAATCCTTATACTGCTTATGCAATGAATTGGTTATATACCTTTCAAATTCATTTTCTGGTCACTGGTGATTATGCAGTTCTGTTACTCTAATCTCTAAACTGTGTACTCTCTAATGCAGTCACACGGCCACAGTTGTGTAAACCTCCTATTATTTAATAATTTCATTCTTTAATAATTACCTATAAAAAGTTGAGCCGACCATGTGTTATTCTTTCACTGTCTACATGTCTTTGAAGTGTAAGTTCAAAATGCCCCTTTTGTAAATCTAGTGTTCCATCTTCTGTTAGAATTTAATGTTGAAGATAGTTGCCTACTTATTTGGTCAAGGATAGTTACTATTATGTAGCCTCAGTTTGGCTTTGGGTTTCCAATTGATGTAGATTGGTGTTTCCAACTTTCATAACTAGATCTATCTTTTGGATTCACACGAAAGAATAAAAGGCACAGTTGGTTATCATCATAGCCATTACTATTGTTACTGTAATCATCACATTTAATGATTATTAGTTGAACTTCTATATTACATGGATTAGGCATCTGAGGCTCAGAAAGTATAAATAGCTTGTCTAAAGTCACAAGATGACAAAGGCTGGATATTAAGAACCTGACACCTAACCCAGAGGCTTTCTGTTTTGATATACTTATGGCAAACTTGTATATTCTTATACACATATACATACACATATGTTTATATAAATACATATATACTTATGGCAAACTTGTATATTCTTATATACATATATATAAGTACATACTTAGAATATGTACATATGTATTTATATAAGTATATATTTAATGTCAGATACAATCATCTTTTAAAAAACACCCAAAAGACAAGCAGCCTTTGAATAACTTTGACCACTGATTTCCTAGTAGATTGTCTCTGAGCCTTTTTTTATGTTATGGTAAAAATCTCTAGCCCTGTCTACCTTGGAAATAGTATTGACTTGACAGTATGCAATCATCACAAAGTATGTGGAAGCTCTTAAAAATTTGTGCTGTTTTATATCAATTCTCTCTATTGGGAAACAAACAAGTGGGTTTCCTTTCTCCTTTACATCTCCTCAAATTTGAAGTTGGCTGTTTCTTAAAAAATCTGAAGTAAAAATTAATGACATTAATGAAAAAATAATTTAATGGGGCGTTTATCCACAAGCTGGAACATCTGGATAATGCATCTGCTCCTCTGTTAATTTCCATCTAGAATATTTAAGTTGTATCCAAAATGTTTTGGCTGTGTTCCAAGTAAACATAGTCAAATTTGATGTGATGTATACAAAATCTATAACATGTTCTTGAATAGAGACTCACTATTATAATATCTAATATTTGAGACAGATTTCTTATCTGTTCCTTTTGGATCTCATTTAAATTCATGGTCATTTTTTTAGTGGTACAAATTAATTTGAGACTGATGTGTTTGAAAATATAGAGTACAATGGATTTCTAGTTCTCTGACTATATTTATAATATGGCAACTCTTAAAAACTACCTATAAATAAAGTTAGCAGTTTTGTAGATATTATCTAGAAAATATAAAATGCTGAACATGACATAATAATGCCACTTTTAGTGCTATGCCGTCTTTACTTTTATATTTAGTTTAAATTTTAGATTGTAAACATGGAGATAGTCAGTCAGCTGAGAATCTAGCCAGTGACTATAATCTACTAGAAAAAAATAGATACAGAGTGTCTATATAATGTCTAAGAGTCAAATAGCTCTTTTATTCTTTATTTCACTGGACTACTAGTCATGATATCTCTTTTTGTTACACAGGGAAGCTTTGCTGAAAACCTTTCATTTATTCTGGAAGCTTTAAAAAAAGGTAAACAGTAACGTATTGAACAGTATCAACAGTATTTGTTTAGCTTTATTTTTCCCCTGATTATAAACTTTATAAGTTTACAAAAAAACTTATAAAGAAACATAAAAAAGAATAAAATAATGATCACTGTAATCCCACCACTGTAATAGTGATCATCCCAACTAACTTTGGTTCCATATCTTTATTCACCTGCAGTATATCATTGAATAAATAGATAAATAAATTTTTATAAGAATAAAATCATTTTCCATATTGTATAATCTGCATCTTTTCACTTACGAACAGGATGTCGTAAGCATCTTGCCGTATCAGTAAGTATTGAACTGCATCACCATTTTTATGGTTCTCATATATTTTATATTGTAAATATAAATTAAAAGTGTAATTAAAAGTGTAAATTTTATTTTATTAACAACCAGTTATGTACTTTTATTTCTTATTTTGTATGTTTAGGAAGAAATGCTTAGATAATTATCCAGATATTTCCTGGGGTAAATTTCAACGAGAGAATTCTAGATTTAAAAGTCCCACATTTAAAAGAATAAATATTATCAAACTACCCTAGAGGTTCCAGTCAATATATTTAAGAGTACCTTTTTCTTAATTATCCTTAAGAAAATTATGAAGAATTAGGAATAAAAGTTCTTCATAGTTTCAAAAACGATTATTTTTATTTTTGCTTATTTAATAAGAAAAAATTATATCAGTTTAATTTGCATAATTTTGGTAATGATGTTCATCATTTCCTATTTTTATTGGGCAATGATATTTCCTGGTTTACATTTTTCCCGTTGGTATTTTGCCTTATTTTGATATTTATTTATTTATTTTCTACTTATTTATGGGAATTCTTGCATTTCTCTTTCTCTTTTCTTAAATTTGGTTTGGATTTTTTGCTGAACAGAAGTTTTAAATTTTTTACATAGTCAAAGTTTTTCACTCTAGGTTTTGAAGATTTTCACTTATGTTTTCATTTAATACACATACTCGTATTCATAATTTGTCTAGAATCTATTTTGGTATGGTGTAAAGTGGAGCTCTAACCTTGAATAAACCACTTTTCCCCATTGATATGTAATGCTGTATTTTGCAGTCCTAAATATCTAATTACGTAGGTCTGTTTCTAGACTTTTGAGTAGTCCCTGTGGTTTTTATGCCATTTAGGTTGGTGTATATGTTTGATTGTTGGAGTAAGTGTCCTCTTATCAGATTTTTCTTTTCACTTGTTTATATAAATATAAAGCCTTAAACCTTAAGGTAATAGTGACTCTTTTGCTGAGGTAATTTCTGTTGTGATGAAAAAAGGAATCCACAGTCATGTTGAACTTTTCCCTATTGTTGAAATATTAAAATTGTGATTAGAAGGAGTTAAAGTGGTTTTGGTTGAACCTCATAGTCTAATCATTGTTCGTAAAAATTATTTCTATGGTAAGATATACTTTGCATTTCTACTAAGTAAGTCTCTTCTGAAGCAGTAGTTTTGGGTATAAATTAATGACTCTCTTTATATTTAATCCCAAAGTGTTTTGGTTATATAGCTAAAAGATCTTTGTCGATTTTCTGATGATAGAAAAACTATGTGTACATAACTTAAAAAACAATAGTTTGCACTTATTTAAATGATTTTCTTAATTTTTCATCAGTAAACTACTAGCATCTAGTAATTAGATTTAAATACTTAAGACTATCTTGCCCAGTGAATAATTTTTTTTGAATTGAATAAATGTACACGCATTGGTAAATATCCTACCCAAAGTAGGTTACCAATATATGTTTAAGTTTTAAGAACTGAAATGTAATAAATAGTTTAGAAATTTAAGAAAGGTTGATATAATTGCTTGTTAACATAAAAACTTATTTTATCTTAGGTGACCGAACTAGTAGTTGCCCAGTGATCTTCATATTAGATGAATTTGATCTTTTTGCTCATCATAAAAACCAAACACTCCTCTATAATCTTTTTGACATTTCTCAGTCTGCACAGACTCCAATAGCAGTTATTGGTCTTACATGTAGATTGGTAAGTCTTTTCTTTCTATTAAAAAATTAATTATAATATTTATAAAATTAAAGCTTAATTCTGACAAAGTTACTTATATAGGTCATTATAGTAGGTATTTTTTTCAAATGTGTTTCCTAATGCCTGGTACATTTTTCCCATTTTTCAACTCAGATTAAGGAAAATAAGAAAACAGTTATCACATATGCTTACAAAACTAATACTTCCCGTCCCTTTATTGGAATCACTGAATAAAAAATGCGAAGTCAGATTATGCTAATAAATATAATTTCTACATTAGCAAGTAAGGAGAAAGTTAAGTAATCTTACTACCATTTTATAAAAATCACTAATAGTTTCTACTTTTGCATTTAAGATTTTTCATATTTTGAAAGTCAGATTATGCTAATAAATATAATTTCTACATTAGCAAGTAAGGAGAAAGTTAAGTAATCTTACTACCATTTTATAAAAATCACTAGTTTCTACTTTTGCATTTAAGATTTTTCCCATATTTTGAAAATGCTTGGAATCAACTCAAAATGATACTATTTCAACTTTGTATGTACATATCTCTGGAAATAAGGCCCATTTACTTATTCTCCTTTCCTACAGCTCTTTCTCTTTTTTAGAGAAATGAAACTCTTTACAAAATCATCTTTCAACTGTCTTTCTAGTGCTGTTTTTTTATGGAATGGCTTACTCTGTCTTTTACCCAGTGCCCCAGAGTTTATGGCGTATGCCTTCATAATAAGCCTCCCTTACAGAACATCTAGCTGGTTAACCACATATCTATATTCTTCCTTGCTAAAAGCAGCAGTTTATCATGGTTTAAGTAGCCACCTTTCTTGCTAAAAAATCTTCTCTTGGGTAGAAGTGTAAGTGCCAAATGTTATTGACCCAGTGAAGAACCAAACAAAGGGTCAGTAACTCATTAGCAGTGTTATCAGAGGCTCTTTTTTATTCCTTATATGTATAATTCTTCAGGTACGCAGTTTTTCTTGTCTATATGTATTTGTGTTTATGGGAAAGAGCAGAAGGACAGATGGAGTAGTGACTTTGCCATCAAACAACCTCTTCCCTGTGGAAGTGATTGCTTTTTTAACTATTTTCTTTATCCCACACTGTCAACTTCTGTCATTAGTCATTACTGTCCACCACTAAATTATCTTTACTTCCATCTCCTTTCCATTCCCAAATTTAAGCTCTTAATTATTGCTTGCATAGAATGTTTGCACTGCCTTTAAGCCACTTACCTATATTGGGTGATCTAGAACTGATCCTTAATAGAAAAGAAATGTATAATGTTCCTATCTCTGGACATAACTTTCTCTCTTTTAATTCCCTTATACTGGCACTTTATATTTTTTTAGGTAATAAAAGCTTTCCAGGTTTTTTGCTCAACTTCTCCCTTCCAGCCCCAAACTATTAATATATCCTGTTTTACTTCCCAAACTAACCATGATCCTATTTCAATCACTTGAATTCTTTTCTTTATATAATCAGTTTTTTAACCTAGCTATCATATAAAAATATCTAAGTAGATATTTAAAAATTTGTATTTCTGGGCCTCACTACAGCTTTTTAAAAATCTTTTTTATTTAGAAAATTGACAGTAAACTTGATTTTTAATTTCTTAAGGAAAAATAGCACAAATACAAGTAGTTTCTTAAAATACTACTATTAAAAAAGCCAAAAGGCGGAATAACTTATTAATGTCATTCTGTGTTCCTACCAGTTTCCTCTTCTACTGTTTGTTCCTTTAGTCTAGTATGGCTTCAGCTTAAATTTGTAGGTAGTTTAGTGAACTAAACTTTTGTCCATTACACATGCTGCTTCTTGAGTCTGTTACATAAAACAAGATGTTTAAATTTTCATGAATATAGTAAGTGTTACCACATTTTATTATTTTAATTTTATATCTGAATTCTTCATAGAATATTCAGAATTCCTTTTTGAAACTCTTAATGTTACTGTGGCATTTACCTATCCAATAATAGTTATAATTTTTTAAGCAATTATTATAGGTCTTTGAACGTTAAAGATAAGCAGAGAATAACATGGTAGGTAAAAGACACGATATCACCAAGCCTACAAATGCTTAGAGGGGGATTGTTTAAAATAGTGTACTTACCAACATTTTTTAGAGGCTTGATTTATTTCCAAGCCACACTATCTTACTTCTGCTGCCTTGTAACCATAAGGAGATTAAAGAAATAATTTTGAGTTTTTAGAGGCTTGCATAAATTTTTTTAATGTTTAATTATGTATTATATATTATAGGGTAAGCATTGCCAATTATAGGTGATAGTTCAAATACTTATACCTCTAACATTATTTTTTTCTCTTAGCATGTATCTTATAGGAATTTCTTTTTTTTTTTTTTTTTTTTTGATTTTTTTGAACTTCAAAAAATTCAAATACTTATACCTCTAACATTATTTTTTTCTCTTAGCATGTATCTTATAGGAATTTCTTTTTCTTTTTTATTTTTTTTTTTAAGGATATTTTGGAACTCTTAGAAAAAAGAGTGAAGTCACGATTTTCTCACCGGCAGATACACTTAATGAATTCATTTGGTTTTCCACAGTATCTTAAAATATTTAAAGAACAATTATCTCTACCTGCAGAATTTCCAGACAAGCTTTTTGCTGAGAAGTGGAATGAGAATGTTCAGGTAACTTGGCACAAAAGCTATAATGTTAAAGTAATTTTTGTGTCTTGCTATACCATTTGAAAGCAATTAAAACTTATAGATTTTTAAAATTTGTAAATTAGCACAAAGCTTCTGATGTTACTGTGTCATTAAAAACTGCATTAATACAAATAATATTTCCTTTTTTGTGTGTATTTTCTTCTTTTAAAAGACAGTTGAAATGTCATATTTCTTAAATTTTTCCTCAAAAAAACTAATAAAATTTTTTTTAGTTATATGATTTATATATTATTTTGTTAGTGCCCTTGTATCATAAAAATATTTATTTTCTTTAGTTTACAAGTTTAAAATATATTACCCTAGTGTTTCATACCTACCTATTCAATATGAATTTTTTTTTCCCAGTTCTCATAAATAACTTTAGCTTTTATCTCATTGGGTCTACTAAGAAGCAGTTCAAGCCACAACACTTATGGTTATATTGTCTACTTTGGTGAATCCCATGTAGAGGCCCTAGAGCCCTGAGGTTCTTAACTACAAAGGCACCTTCACGTGTTGTTGTAAAGATTTACTAAAGCTCGTGGACTCTGTAAATTTACTTACACTTAGGTCGAATAGCCTAACTTGTACAGGCCATTGTTGTACCAACTCAACATACTAGCCCCCGTTTATCTTATGCCGACAAGAAGTTTCAGTTGGCAGGGAGAAGTGGGTGAGAGAGAGATAACATGATTGAAAAACAGTGTTGCCAAATAAATCCCACTTGGTAGAATCTTTCAAAAATATGGATCCCAAGAAGGTGGAAAATAATATAAAAAGTCCTTGGTTTTGAAAGAATTGGGAAAAACTGTTCTGAAATATTAAATATTAATGAGCGAGGATAATTAGATGTATGGATAGAGTTATACAGTCTGTATTCACTGGCTCTAAAAAAAAAGATTGTTTTATATTAAAGCAATATTTTACTTTTAAATATCAATACCAAATTAAAAGTGAGAATTTTGCATTTAAGTGATTTTGCTCTTAAATGATTTGTTTTTTCCATCTTTGTTGAGGTATAACTGACAAATTAAATATTATATGTATTTATGGTGTACAGCTTGACATTTTGATGTACATATCATTGTGAAATACCACAATCAAGCTGTTTAACATATCTATCATCCGACATAGGTATCATTTCTTCTAATGTGGTGAGAACACTTAAGATCTATCCTCTAAGCAAATTTCAAGTGTACAATACTGTGTTGTTAACCATAGTCACATTGCTGTACGTTATATCTCCAGAACTTAACTCATCTTATGTAACTGACATTTCATTCTTGTTTTGATAATAATATATAATCTGATAATGTAAGCATTATTAATTCTGACACATTTCATTTTTTTAATTTAAAGTTGAGTGAATAAAATTTAATCCGGGCATAAGGATACATGGTAAACGGTAGAAGTTTCCCTTAAATCCAAATTTTTTCTTTCTTCTTTTACTGCAGAATATTTATTTGGTTTATAGCATCTCAGACTTTATATATGTACTGAACTTGTTTTGTACATAAAGGGTTCAAATTTTATGTATTCTTTGTTTTACCTTTTTTACTTTGTTCTGATTAATTCCATATTATTTTTCCTAATATAACTATATAGGATAGTATATAAAAATGACTAACTTTTCCTTAAAATTTAGATATTGTGCCATGATATAATTAGATATAGGTTCTTACTTCCACCTTCCTCTCCAAATTAACCTTGCCTAGGACTCAGATATTTGTTAGTTCAGGCAAGTTTTCTCTGATACTGTATCTAATTATAAGATTCTATTTTTTAGGAACACTTTATAGTTGATGCTCCCATGTTGTCTCTTCCCTTACCTAGGTCTGGAGTAGATCAGAGCTCTGGATCTTTGTTTTATGAATCCACTTTTCAGTGCCTCATAGACTTTTACCTTCTACAGCTCTTGAACTTATTGTCTTGTTACAACTGTGTTTTTCTGTCTGCTGTAGAGATTCAAATGCAGCCTTTCATAGCATTTAAATGTCTGCTGTGCTGTCTTAGAGCTTTTATTATGTATATCCTTGTTCACTTTCCTAAGTTAACTAAACAGCGCAGGTTGTAATGTGTCATCATCCATCTTTCTGTCCTTCCCTGATATGTTGCATTCCGATCATCTCAGGGTGGTCATATAAAGGAAGTAGATGGTGAGGGTTACGGGTGAAGCATAACTCTGGATGATTCAGAAAATGGGTAACCATGTTAGTAGTAGAGTGGCTAACTCTTAGATTTTTGGTCCTTCTTTGCTGATTCACTGAATTTAGAGACAGGTAGTAGGAATGCATGTGAGCATTATCCTTTCATCTTTTTGACAATCTTGCAGGTATTTTGTAAGGTAAAACTAGTACCACTGGAATTTATGTCTCAGTTCTAATATTTTCTTTCTCTATCCTAATCATCATTTGCCCCCTCCCCTTGGCGTTCTGATAAATGAACTTCACTCAAAAAATATGTCAGCACCATGGCCAGAGGCCCTGCTGTGTGGGTGGGGGTGGGGTGGGGACTGCATTGAGGGAGCTATCCTGTCACTCAGTGCTGATTATCCAGTAAGTTGTTCCAATTCCAAGGTTAAACCAAAAGCAGTGGTATAGATAACAAGTCACCTATGGATATCATCCAAGAAATATCTTCAGGACAGTGTTGAACCTGGACCTCCAGCCTAACTCGAATGTTTTATCCCTAATCCAAATGGGTCAAATAAGCAGAGTGAACACCATCTCCGCATAGCAGTATAAGGGAAATCCCTGAATAAAAAAACTTTTAAAAGGAACACAGCTAATTCTCAAAGGAAATTCCCCCAAAGTACTATAGGTTAAGGAAGATTTACCTACTGTCTTAAACCTCCCCTGTTTAGTTAACAGAAGGTGAGAAAGTTTAGCAGCTGCTGAGATTAGCAAGCAGATTTAGTACATATACTGCTGCCACAGAGTTATCCCTGGAGCAGCATGAGTCCTGAAGTGTGAGTATAATCCTATAACATTCTGCTTAGAGTCTACCTGTGAAGAGGGCATGGTCAAACACACCGCAGTTGGCACAGTAAGAACAACTGCGACTGCTACTCGTGTACCTCAGTGAAAAGGAAAGGTGTCAGCTTCCTTGAACAATGGAGAGTTGTGCTTTATTTCTGAGAATTTCTCCTGTATTCCTGTAGGTAATGTCAATCAGTCTCTGTCTTATTTTCCTTACATCATTTCCTGAGCCAACCATATGGGAGCTTTTAATCCAGAGTGATAAGAAATTCAGTTATACTTCATACCTGAGATCTGATATCTTCAGTGACTATCATAATTAAATATAATAGGCATCCAATAAGCGGTTATTGATAATAGCCTTATCCTCAAGTAGTTTATAGTGTTTGAATCAAGGTGGAATTAAAAATGTAATGAGTTCTTATTTTTTAATGGCTCATTTATAGGTCTTGTAGGCATTTTTTTTAAAGCAGATTAAATAATTAAAGAAGGAAGGTATTAGCTTTCAGAAAGAAGAGGATTTGGATTCAGACCTCTAAAGACAGATAAACGGAAAGGCAGAGTATAGAAGTAACCATTTGACATGTCATATTAAAAAAGTAAGTCCCTTTTTTAAAATGAATTCTTGTGGAAAAAAATTATTTCACAACATATTTATCCCAGGTGATTTTCTTTAGTGTTCTTAAGTGCTCTGATTTGAACACATCAACTTTATAAGTGACTTGATAAGAGTCACCAATTGTAGAAGCCAAGACTACAATTAATTTCCAAAAGTTTTTTATTTGAAATACTTTATTATTTTGTGTCCTTCCAAAAGGTATGTGACTCTGTTTATCATAAAAAGATATGTATAGCCTTTAAAATAGAAAGAGGAGACTAAAAACAATAGCAAAGGAATAGAGACTGTAACTAGGATAATATATTTACTGAGAGCATGAAACTTCATTAGACTAGAACTTATTTCTGAATATGAGTCATCTTACAGTGGAAGAAGTAGAGATGTGCAATATTAGCTTTAGAAAATAAAATATAGAAATACTTAGTACTTAGTTTTCTGGGCTTTGGGCTTTTTTTTTTTTTTTTTTTAAAGGAAAAATAATCCGTATTTCTTGCAGATGATTTTTTAAGAATTATGTTAATCTTCCTCAAGCTGTTCTTGGCTCTGCCAACTTTGAATTTACTCTCTTTTCATCTGATCTTTTTTATTGCCAACTGTACCTCACCTGTCATTATTCCTAATTCACTGCAGTCACTTAGCACTTTTAGATACTTTTTTTCAAGGAGCCCTATTGATCTTCGAATTTCCAAAGCCATTAGCTTCATCTCAAAATATATCTTTATTTAATTACACAAAATACTTTACATTGTTGATCACCACTTCACTGTTGAAGTTTTCTTTTCTTGGTTTCATCAGTCCCTTTTGTATTCTTTTCCAGTTTTCAATATCTTTTTCAATCTCTTTGTTTGCTCCACTTTTCCATCTACTTCTTAAAACTTGATAATCCAAGTTTCACTTCCTGACCATATCTCACTTTTCACTCCTCCAGTGACATTCTGTATCCCATAATATAAACTCTGATTTTTCTCTTTCCCCATTCAAACCCTTTCTCCTCCACTTCTCACCAGTTGATTCTCTACAATACATGTCTTTTATAAATGACTTAATTCTCGTCTTCACCACTGTATTAATTCCGACCCTCTTTGACAATTGTAATTGCCTTCAATCTGGCTCGCCTGCCTTTGTCTTTCCATATAATCCCTTTGCCAATAACTGAAATTTAGGATTACATGACTCCTTAACCTCTGTCAGTATACCACAGTATTCTTACATTACTCATGCTATTCCCTCTAACTGGAATCTTTCTTCTTTATAACCTATTGACTCATACAGTTTAGCACTCTTTGTAATACTTTAATTTGTTTACCCAAGTGTAGTAACTCATTCTCTGTTGTGTTTTGTGCTGCATTTGATCATCCCACTATCACAGTATGGATTCTCTTTTTATACAGTTTTGGGGTAGCAAAGATTATGCTTTATGTTTGCGTCTATTGAATTAACATAAGGATAAGAAAATCAATAGACTGGATATTTGGTTTTGATTTTTGTGTTCTATAAAAAAGACCAGCACCTATTTAATAATCAATAAATAGAATTAAAGAGGTGCACAAACTAGTGAGGCACAAGATTATATTTAGGATTTAAACTGCATTATTCCTTATTTCTGTTTTGATTTTTTTCTCTCTAGTGTCTCTCAGAAGATATAAGTGTACGAGAAGTACTACAGAAGCATTTCAATATCAACAAAAACCTGCGGTCATTACACATGCTATTGGTTTGTATTAGTTTTATTTTTAGCATTCATTTTATTTCACCAGGTGATTGTGTTTTGATGGGAATTGATTAAACCTGTAGGTAAATTTTGGGAGAATTAACATGTTTACTACATTGAGTCTTCCAGTTCCTGAATATGGTACATCTCTCCTTTTCTTTAGTTCTTCTTTGATTTTTTTCATTATCGTTTTATAATTTTTACTACACAGATCCTGTTTTTACATGTTTAAAGTGCATACATAAGTATTTAATTTTTTTGGAACAGTTGTAAATTGTATTTTATTTTTAATTTTGGTTTCAGCATGCTCATTGTTAGAATGTAGAAATGTGATTGATTTTTGTATGTCGACATTGTACTCTGCAAATAGGGTTTTTTTTTCCTTTGCAATCTGATAGATTTTATTTCTTTTTCTTGTCTTATTGCCATGGCTAGAACTTCTTCCACTGTGTTGAATAAGAGTGATGAGGATATACATCATTGCGTTTTTTCCAATTTTAGGAGGAAAGCAATCTTTTACCATTAGGCATTATATAAGCTGTAGCTTTCTTTTAACTACATGTTTGTTATAAAGTTAAGGTAGTTATTATCTGTTTTTAACTTGAGAGTTTATTATGAATGAGTGTTGGATTTTGTCAGATACATAATCTGTATAAATGGATATAATCTGTGGTTTTTCTTTAGCCTGTTAATATGTTGGATTACATCACTTGATTTTTTTTTTTTTTTTTTTTTTTTTTTTTTCGGCAACTCTTGGTTGACCTCACAGATTGCAAGCACTTTGACAGTGTACAATCCCTTTTTATTTTTATTTTTTATGCCTACAGCACCTAGTCTTCCTAGGTGGTCTCCTATCCAAGTACTAACCAGGCCCAACCCTGCTTAGCTTCCGAGATCAGACAGGATCGGGCTGGTTCAGGGTAGCATGGCGTAGACATTGCTTAATTTTTTAATGTTGAACTAGCTTTGCATACCTGAATAAATCCCACCTAGTTATGGTCTTTCACAAAATAATTATATCTTAAGCTTAAACAGTAGCACAGAAGGGGTACTTTATTGTTCTGAAAATTAAAGCTCTTCACTAATTTATTTGATATTAGCCTAATATTTCTAGAACATAATCTATGGCAAATATCTTTCAAGGAAAAAATACTTTTTATTTCATGAATTTCTTCTTGGTCGTTTTCATTCATAATGATAATGGATATCATTTATTGAATAGCACATGAACCAGGTAATACAGTTACTTTAACAACATTATGTCTAACCTTTACCAAAATCCTATTTTTTATACTTTGTTTTTTTTTATCCTTATTTTTGGAGAAACTGAAGTTTCTTGTTGTTATATAACTTGCCCCAGGTCACATAGCAAACTAGATGGCAAACTCAACTCAAATCCAAGGCTCTCTGGAGTCAAGCTTGTGTTCTTTTTACTATATGGTTCTGCTCTGTTTTAGAGATTCTCCTTCCCCGTTTGTTTTTTGCTGAGGAAATTTAGGAGTTTTTTTTTTTTTTTTCCATGTATACTTTCTTGTTAGCAGTCTCCCTCCCATCCGTAAAAATCCTACCGCCATTTTCACTTGTCTTTATCTCTAAGGAATTTGGGGATTAAGAATTTTTTAGTTATTTATATACCAAAATTAGACTTTACTAACTTATGATATATAGAGGATACACGCACACATATGCACATATATATGTACACACATATACGTGTGTACACACACACTTCTCATTATTCTGGGAAAATCTCTACCATCAAAATGTCAACATGAACAGCCATAATTTTTCCAGGTTTCTATTACATTTTTAATTCAAGGTAATGGCTTTCTTTTTGTTTTGGTTTGTCTTGTTTAAGAAAGTTTTGGAACTGGTAGATATTATAAAGAGGAGGGAAAGACTTGACTGAGATTAAATATAGTTTGGATAATTTTCAGTAAAATATCAGGAGTTATACACATAGAAAAAAACACCCTCATTGTATATCCAAAAGTAAATTCCAGGTTAAAAAACCTAAATGTACATACAGAAACAAAACTTTTAAAAGTTTAGAAAAAAAAAAATAGAAGATATTTGTAATCTTGAGATAGAGGAAGAGTTCTTAGGGAAGATACACAAATCATAAGCCATAAAAGAAAAGATAGATAAAGTTAATTACATTAAATTTTTAAATGTCTGGACAAAAGATACCTTAGAAAAAGTGAAGACTGATTGGGAGAGGATATATGCAATGTACGTAATCATCAACACTATCCATAATGTATAAAAAGCTTCTACATTACCCCAATCAACTTAATGTAAAAAAAAAAAGCTTCTACAATAATCAATAAAGGAATGAGCTAAGAATTTGAACAAGCAATCCACCAATGTGGAATCCCACATGACTTATATACAAAGATGTTTAACCTCTCCAGTAACCAGGGAAATGGTACAAAATATTTTTAACTTTACATTATTAAACACTACATTTTTATTTCTGGCAGTCTGGTGGTTCCAAGTTAATATCTGATGGTGTCTGTGACTATTAAAATTTATTGCTGTTGATAGTATAAATATGTATAAGTACTTTGGAGAACAATTTGGCAATTTAGGTATCTAGAGACCTCAGATGTACAAGAAGACATGTACTGCATTGTTTATTGCAGCCTTATTTATAATTGCAAAAAGGAATGAGAGATGTCTATCAATAAAAGAGAGAATAATTAAAATGTGAGTATATATACAAAGGAATGCAACTGGAAAAAAATGAATAAACTAGAATTGACACCTTGACGTGGATAAATTCTCAATGTTCAGTAAAGAGAGTTGCAGCAGTATAATATGGTACTTATATAAAACTTGAAAATTTGTACTGTCTAAGAATACATATGTATGTAGTAGAAGTATAAAGACATGATTTTTTTTTTCTTTTAGTATGGGGAAGGGTAGAGAGTCCAACCATGGAAGAGACATGGGCTTCAGCTGTCTAAGATATTTTGTAAACTAAGGAAGTGCTTGTGGATCTTCATTATATTTTTCTCTTGCCTTTTTGTATGTCAAAAATATTTTATTATAAAAGGAAAAAGAAAAAGGAAGAGAAAGGGAAGGAGCTACTGGGTACCCTGTTCTCTCCCAGTTGGGGAATGAAGTACAAGGATCACCAAACTCTTCTGATCAACTAAGGACCCTGGGCCCTGGTTAAAATGGGGGAGAGACTTGCTAATATAAAAAATGTCCCAAATACTATATGGTACATCCTTACACTAAGAAATTATTCATTGTTTACCTGGAATTCAAATTTAATGAGATATCATTCATTTTTTTACCTTCTAAATCTGCTAACCCTATTTAAATGATTAAATTTAAATGTTACGAACCTCACAAATAAAGATATCTTCAAATCTAGGATTAGCGTTAGTTGTTGGGAAGACAACAAGCTACATAACAAGTGAATTCTTTTCAGAATTGTTTCTGGGTGTAATTTTGGTTTTTACCTTTTTCCTTTTTATACAATAGAACATAAGTGATAGAAGTGAACACTAACCTGGACTGGTTGATTGGGTGGTAAGAAAGTTCCTATAAGTCACAGATCTGCCTTTTTGGTTTGGTTTGGTCTGGAGCTTTAAATAGTGTTCTTATTTTTGGTCATCTTGCCCTACTCCTTTTTTAAACAGCTTTTCTGTCCAGGAATTGTAAATAAACAAAATATGCAAGTGGGAAGGGGTAAAGAGAACAATAAAACTTTTTTTTTTATGCTTTACATTTATAGAGTTATATGGCATATGAATTGAAATACTAAATTTTAGTAGAGCTAAATGTGAAAAAATATTTTTCCTAAGCATTACTAGTCACTCTCATAAGCATAGACTCTCCAAATTATGAAGTTTTGTTCAGTAATTCTCCAAATTGCCCAAGTAAGTATATAATTGTCTTACCCTCATTTCTCTAGATGCTTGCTTTAAATCGCATAACAACATCACACCCATTTATGACTGCAGCAGATCTGATGGAGGCAAACCAACTGTGTAGCATGGACTCTAAAGCCAATATTGTACATGGTAAGAAACCTACTTGATTAATAGTTTTTTATAGATTTGAATTTATATAATGGAATGCTTTTCAAAATTATAATTAATATTGAGTATAGTGCTTTTTATATAGACTACTTTTTATCCATACAGCCTTTAACTCAGCCCTTTAAAAGATATTGTCAGTCCCATTTACAGTCAAAGAAAATTGATACTCTGCCTCTCTTGCCACGTTGGAAGTCCTGCTAAGACTGTATTGCAGGTGTTCCTGTTGTACCAAGTGGTACCGAAAAGCATTGGCTTTTAGTCACTTTAGATTCACTGTCCCTGTTAAGAATCTAATGAAACTTCTCTCCAGGAGAAAAATTTTAGATATAATTTACAGGGATTTAGGGAGTCTCTGAATAATCAAGGGCCCTATGTAATTTAAAGTTACGTAATAATTGCAGCAGCTTCAGTTTACGTTTCCTGTGGGCCATATGGTCAGTGCTTGATAATATTACCTCTCATCCTTATAACATCCTTATAACATCTCTGTAAGATTAAAAGACCCTTATTTTGCTGATATGAAAACTAAACTCAGGGAGATTGAGTAACTTGCTGAAAATTATAAGGCTAATAAATAAATGAAATACATTTGAACCTGGGGGAGGTCTTAACCTCCTCCTACCCCTCAAATCCATGATCTTTCACTTTTATTCTATATAGAGGACAGTTATTTCAATCTTATGTATCTAAGTAAACTACAATTCAGTTTGCTTCCCTTTTACTGTAGGTCTATCGGTATTGGAAATCTGTCTTATTATAGCAATGAAGCATTTAAATGACATTTACGAAGAGGAGCCCTTTAATTTTCAAATGGTCTATAATGGTGAGAGGAGACTTTCGTAGTTTCTGACTCCACCCCACTGCTTATTTGAAGATACTAACTTTGTCATTGCTTTCTGTCCAGAGTTTCAGAAATTTGTTCAGAGGAAGGCCCATTCTGTTTATAATTTTGAGAAACCTGTTGTCATGAAGGTAAGCTTCCCTGTTATTTTTCTGCAGACAAGTATATTTTTATGTCTAATTTGATTGTCCACTTGACCCTTGAATAACACATTTGAACTGTGCATGTTCACTTACAGATTTTTTCAAAAAATACTGTAAATGTATTTTCCTTATGATTTTAATAGTATTTTTTTCTCTAGCTTACTTTATTGTAAGAATACAGTATATAATACAAAATATGTGGCAATCAACTGTTTATGTTATTGGTAAGGCTTCCTTCCTTCCAGTCAACAGTAAGCTGTTAGTAGTTAAGTTTTGGAGAAGTCAAGCAATATAGCAATTTTTGACTGGGGGTGAAGGGTTTTTGGTATCGCCTAATCGCTGAGTTTTTCAAGGGTACTGTATATTTCATAGTTGCACTTTTATTAATTTTGAAACATTAGGTACTTATAGTTTTTTTTTTTTTTCCAAAACATAAATCTAAAAACAAAATGTTGAATAATTTTGAAGCAAGCAGCCAGTTTGTGGAGGTATACTGCCCTCTACTGTCTGTTCCTAGCACTTGCATCCTGAAAAGGAATTACCTATGAAATACATGGATAGAACCCTATCCCTTTACAACACAAGGTTTGGCTTTATAATCTCAGCAGTAAAAAAGAAATAAAAATGTTGATATTATGCATTAAGAAACCAAAGGACAAAATCTCACTGGCTGATGAGGGCATACAGAGAAAGTTTTATTAGGGGTTGGGTGAGACATGAGTTCTAAAACTTGAACTTTATTCTAGCATACCATTGTCCACTTGAAACACAACATGAGCCACATAATGTAATTTTAGATTTTCTAGTAGCAACACAAAAGTATAAAAGAAAAAAGGTGCAGTTATCTTTAATATTAAATTTTAACTTAATATGCCCAAAATATTTTAATCTATAATCAATATAGAGATTATTAATGAAGTCTTTTCCCTTTTTTTGTGTGTTAAGATGTGTATTTATACCTAAAACACATCATAATTCACTAAATATTCATTGGAAATACTTGCTCTTTGGATCCTTAAAGTTTTTAGCTGAAGTAAATGTATATTCTGCAGTTGCTCTAAACATACTTAATTTCTGATTGACTCAAATATCAGTTTTTAAATTAAACTTAATGAAAATTAAATAAAATGAAAAGTGAGTCCCACATTTCAAATGCTCAGTAAGTAGCCTTGTGTGGCTAGTGGTTACCTTAGTGGACAGCACAACTCTATAGAGGACTTTATAAGAAGAAACATTTTTTGTTTTTTTAAGCAGTGGACCCATATGTCCTGATAGGCCCTAGTAGTCAGAATTTTATTCCTTGTAGCAACCAAAATATGAGTATGGGGCATTGCCATTTCTTCAAAACAATAGGAAGGGTATTTAGCACACTGGAGGTTGGTTTTTTCCCCCCACTTCCTAATGTCCATATCTGTCTGATGGTTTGTGGGAGTTGTATAAATGGAAAGGGTTACCTGAACATTTAAAATTCTGATGAATTTCTGCATTTTAAATAAAGTATTTTTGCTGCCTAGAAATATTTTAAATCTCAATTTTATTCAACCCCTCAGCTTGCAGCCTCTGATATTTTCTCATTTTCAAAAATGATGTCTGAGCTATATCTCTTTCATCAGAAAAATTTTTATGGCATATAAAGAATATATTCCAATGATATTTTTCACAATGAGCCTGTAAGAATAGAAAGCCCAGGAATCTATTTCAGTGTGTAAATATTTAATGGTTAGTATGTCATGACTTAATGGTTTCTTTTTTTCATACCCTAATAAAATACTTAAAATAATAATCAAGGTTAGAAAAGACATAATACATGAATATTAGCAGTAAAGGGAAGCAGACAGTAAAGAGTCCTATTAAGATGGGGAAGATGGAAGAGACTTTTTAATAGGTTATGGCAGTCTCCCTCAGACTTCTTAGGGAAACAGAAGCCTGTCTTCTCTCCTCCATGTCCATAACACTGCTAAGTCATTTATTTATAGGATCAGCTGAATAGGCTTGGTGTACTCCTTAGGGTCTTTCCTGCTTCCCTCTTTTTTTGCAACTGTATTAAACTTTTACACAGCAAAGTCTCACAAAGGTAGAAGCAAAATACAAGCGCAAATTTGAGTAACCTAAGTAATGAGTCAAAAGGTGTACTGGTTTTATCAGATCTTCGGTTTTCAGTGCAAACTGGAAACCCTTCATTAACTTAAGTACTAGGAGGAGATATGATAGAGAACAAGATTAGGTACAAAATCTTATTGTGCAGACTAGATTAAAATTTGCCCTGTTTACATTCAACAGTGCAGGGACAGATAACTGGATATTGACACTATTTTTTCACCTAGGATATGAAGTTGTTTTTGAACCCTATTGATTCCTATTGTTTCCTAGCATTCTTTTCCACAATTGACTCAAACTCTTAACTGTTCTCTGGGTTAGCATTGTTACTTTACTTCCCCTATTGAACCTAAACTATTTCTTTCATCTTTCAGGCTTTTGAACACTTACAACAATTAGAATTAATAAGGCCCATGGAAAGAACTTCAGTAAATGCACAGAGAGAGTACCAGCTGATGAAACTACTTCTGGATAATACTCAAATTATGAATGCTTTGCAGAAATACCCCAACTGTCCTACAGATGTTAGGCAGTGGGCAACATCCTCACTAAGCTGGTTATGAATATAACCAGTGGCTTCAGTTATGGAGTTTCAGGCGAACTACTATAAATAACTAAAAACCGTTGTTCTTTAACAAGATATGTTATTGCATTTTCTTTTATTTATAACTGTTTTTTTATATTTATGAGGGATTATTACACATGTAGTATTCTTGGCTGTGTTGTGCCTTTAAATCTTGAGCAGTTACATGATTTATAATTCCAGTAATTTAGACTAGTAGTTCAAAAAAATGTGACTTTTATAGGGATTAAACCATATGCTTATTTAAAATAGTTGTGAATTATTAGTGTTACATTTAAAGAGTTCATGTTAAGCCAGCAACCAGATGTTTTTACAAACCAACAAAGCAGTAAAGAAACAATGGTGAGAGCTGAGGTGTAATGAGTAATCTTGGGATCCAGTGGGAAGTGATGCATTTTTTTTTTTTTCTGTATCCATGGAAATTTTGGATTCTGTTCCAGACCCAGGTCTTCTAGTTCAAGAGACTGACCAGTTGGCCAGAAGATGGTTCACGTGGAAGGAAAAGAGCCAAAAGTTTGTACGTTTTCTTTCAGACTTCTGAAAATGTTACTTATACCATCTAAAGAACCCCTTTAAGCATTTTTTTTTTAATGCAGAATTTTGGGCCTATTTTAGGCCACACGGATCAGAATTTATCTTTTTAACAGGTACTTTAAGAAATTCCTGGAAAACCACTCCCACAAATAATGGGAAATGTTTGGCAGTGTTAACTAATCTGTTATTTGTATCAAAAAGCAAACCCCTAAGAGGAATGTGGAAATGTCAGCCAAAGTATTACCTTATAAATTCAGGAATCCATAAACTAATATAGGTATATGTTTAAAGTGAAATTTAATAAGCATTCATTAAGTGTTAGCTACTTCATTTATTCAATATTTGGATGCCTGTTGTTTAGTGGAATGTGGTTTACATAAGGCAAAGTCCCTACCTGTGTGCAGTTTATAATCTTTGTAACTGTCAAAGGCCATGCTATTTGCATACTGTTATTTATAGGTGAGAAAACTAACACAGTGGCAGTGTCCAGAATCACACAGGTAGAGAATGATTGACAGACCTGGTTCAACTCAAGTTTGATTGATACCAAAGCACCTGCTATTAAGACTTGAAGTTCAGTATTGGATTCCTTACCATGTATTTTGTAAAGTGTGCTCTAGGAAATGATTTATCTTGTTTTTAAGACGTATCAGATGTAGACTAGAAATATCTGTGCACAAAAGTAGCTCTTCAGTAATTACAGCCTATTCTTTTGCATACATCGTCTTCTTTCCATGCCCTCCGAGTCTTCAGATCACTGTCATTTACTTTTCTGCAATCTCATTAAATCTAAGGCTTACATACTGGTTCTGTACAATACTCTACAGATTTTTAAGGGATATTTTGCCAAAATACTTAAAATGGTAGCATCACTATTACTAGAAGCAAGGATTTTACGCATGAGCTAAAACTGTCCCTTCAAAAAAATTTCTAAAATATTTTAAGGCACTGACTATCAAAGCACCTAAAGACCTGACTTGAGGATTACAAATTTGTATTCTGTTAAGATGCCAATAGAAGGCTGAGGACCCTTATCTGCCTCCCTGGCTATGTAGGAGCTCCAGAAGATCCATCAAGGTCCAGGTATACTGATTAAAAAACTAGCAAGATGGGTTATCATAAAGCAAATTAGAAAAAATAGGTTAGCAAAAAGCATACAAATGAGTATGTCTACATTCCAATGGCATTTTTTGAGGGGAGGAGGGATGCTGATGTTCCCCTTTCCATACTCACTAATAAAAGCTAAAATGTATTTACAAAATTTTTAAACTAATTTCATTTCTTAAATTGCTTAAACCATTAACAAAATGAAAACCAAATCTGAAAAGCCCTAGTAAAAAGCTTTAGAAAATAATGGAAACAAATATGACTTAAAGATATTTTCCTCATTTACTAGAGGAGGATTATAGCCTTTGAACAGCACAGTCAAAAACCTCTGACCTGCTTGGGTCATCAGACTGAAAAGGTTAAGTGTTAGAGGCTTCAGTGCAGTTTTTACTCATGTCCCTCCAGGAGCCTTACCAAAAACAAGATTTTATTACGAAATTTTAAAAAACCTTTCCAGTTCACATGCACATGTGAATAGGTCTGAGGAATTAAAACCTGGTGGTCCAAATGTACTATATCATAATGCTATATATGTTGAGCATGTACATTATTTACTTCCTGAAGAATCAGTGTTTTGCAGAACACACTGTGGAAAATGATTCCAGTCTTTCCATAGATTTCCATGGTTTGTTTATTTTTATTTGGTTTAGAAGGCAATGCAGGTTCTCTCAAACCACCATATTGTAAGTGTCCCTTTCTTCACCTTTACCCTAAAAAAATTAAGAATCCATTGGTATGAACTGTGACACTACATGTGACAATGTGGGGCTTTTCCAGCCCCCCCCCCATTTTCTTTGAAAACCACAAGATAAACAAAACCTTTGCAACATTAAAAATGTAAATAGAAGCTAGCTTTCTTGATTACTCTGATTACCCTAAGTGGAAGTACCAGAATTCTCCCATTCAGTTAGTAAAGAATTACCAAATTGGAAATACAATTCATATCTTTGATGACTATTTCCTAAGCCACATTTTTCTATTTCCATGTTAAAAGTCAAGGTAACTAAAGCTCAGCTAGCTTCTCTAAACCTGGCAGGACCAACATACCTACTTTAGTAGGAATATAATTGGCTTAAACAAAGGAGAGAAATGCCACAATTGACAAACCTCCCTTCTTTCACCATTATTCTTACACATCTCAAGGTGTAAGCCTTACTACAAATTATAAAGCTACTATTCACCTTTAAGAACATAGAGCTAAAGAAAAACTGCATATGCAAATCATACCATATTCATTTTTTTATTTAACTTGGGGATGGAATGGGGATAGCATACATTTTATTTGTACAATATTTAACAATCACTTATCCAAGGTGGGGTTTTCGGGACTTTTTTTTTTTTTTTTTTTTTTTTTTTTAGTTTTTTGTTAAATACTTGCAGAAAAAAATAGCAAGTACAATTTGACAGTAGTACAACAACCTGTGCCCAAAACACTGACAAGAAATACAGAGTAAAGCTAAAATAATTGCTTTCCAATATTTTGAGAGGTAACAAATAGGATATGGGTTGAGACTGCATAAAAAATGTACTGCTGGTTGAATATCTGAGGTAAATGATGTTCAAGATGCTACTTGTATCATTTTGCCCATAAATCAGTAAATAATTTTATGCACATTATACCAAATGTTCCTAAAAAGTAATTTTTTTAAAAAGGTAAAAAAGAGAAACTGGAAAATATCTGTGGTGAAGCAATTTTTTTAAAACAGTAATCAGTTTATTCCACCAAACTATCATCTGGCCTGGGTTTTTTTCTCCCCACCACCTGCATTTTACTTAAATGTAGCTATTATGTAGGGGTAAGGAAAGGGGGAAGAAGAGATTCCTTTTTTAATTTCATGATATATGATTTTATTTTAAATCCTAAACGTGGGGGGTTTTCCTGATTGTATTTTCAAAAAAACATCACCATGAAAGAGAGTTCATGGTACCAACAATTGTGGGGCACAGTCTCTCTTCTAGAAGTCACAAGGTACCTGTAATAAACATTCAAACAAGAATCACACATCACATGCTAAAAACTTCCTAGAATCTAAAATACATACAAGAGCTGTGCAGGGCATAGACTTCGAATAAAGCCAAACACTGGTTAATCCATCAGTCCTATGGCAGTTGATCATAAAGCATTCCTTAGACGAAGATCTGGGCAAGGTAAAGAGTATAAGTTAGAGCAGCAGTTCTGATGGGTATCAGAAAGGCAAAATACAAGACGAAATCATAAGGAGCACCATACACGTGAGGAAAAAATTATTGGAGTCTCAGTTTACCCCAAAACGAAACCATTTTTCTCATTCTTTGATCTTTCTTTTTTCAGTATCCCTAGCTTAAACTTTTTGTTAACTTGCCCACTCTGCACTGACTGTAAACCAAACATGAAAATGCCCTGCAAAAGAAAGTTTTAACAAGACTATCAGGACAGGTAGTCACTGGAACATTCTTAACTGCTTATAAAAAGTGTTTTTCTATTAGTATAATTCTCAAAAGGATACAAGTTTTAAAATTGGTTAGCTAGAATTACGTACAATACCCAGATTTCTAAAACTGTTTTCTAACATGAAGAGAAAAATTTGTCTTGTGAATAACTGGTTTTACAAAACTTATCTCTAGTGTTCACATAAGCCAAATGCAATATTCCTTGTTTTTGTTTTGATTTTTTTTAACTTTAAAAAAACAGGATTAAATATTCAGAATGGATAGAAATTAGTCTTCAGATTAACAATTTTCATGTGTGAACATTCTCATTATTTTCCCTTCTTGGTTAGTTTCAAAGTTGAAGCAAAACCAAATCAAGAAATTGAGAGGCTAAGTACTTTTTGAAATAGAGATGAACTCAACATTGAAATGGGAATTATAGAGGTGAACACAACATTGAAATGGGAATTCTTAGGAATACAGTGACAACTTGAGCACATAATGTGACCAAGAGCACATTCTGTATGGTGTGTGGCACACAGACATTGCTCCTTTCTCTTT